TTTATATTTGAATTATTTGAGTGGTGAAATTAATTAGGGTGTTTGTATTTCTAATTTATTGTTTAATTTGTGATAAAATTAATTGTTCCTAAAAAAGTTTACTTATTTGTTTAAATTTGGGCCCACCGTAGTAAAAAGTTTATAAAGTTTAATTAAACCCTGTTCACCCCCCTCTAGGGTTGTCATACCGATCCAACAAGACCTGCACAAGGAACAAACACTCTAACACCCAAGTTAGAGTGAGCTCGAGTTGTAGTAGATCATTTTCAGACAAAATAGCATACTTGAAATGTGGGGCGGTGTGTCCCTTTTGTAGGCAGGAGGGGGATACAGTCGTTGAAGCCGTTCCGATCGACGGTTACAGTTGTCGGGCCACCAGGTCGGGGGGAGCCTGATCTTCTTTCTCAACTCATCATGTTTTAGGTCGGCAAGCACAAATAGTCTGTTTTATCCTTTTCAGTGACTTCRAACTTAACAGGAGGGTTGACGTGTCAAATGATAGTTTTACCACCACCATGTTCAAAGTAAAATAAAGATAGAGGTGAAAATAGTTGTTGGGTAAACTTAAATTTTATATTGAAGTGATGTTTAGGTATTAGAAAATTTTACTCAMTCGAAAAACGTAACTCTTTCCTCCTAATCTGTACTGAGCGTGTTTGGTTCAGGGATTGGCTTGAGATGAATTTGACACCCTAAGCTAATCCTATGTTTGGTACTCGGAACTAAAGCTTCTTAACTAATATAATTCAATGAACGTGGTAATTTATGCCTGGTTAAGAAAATTTATGGTTCTTACCTTTGTTTATATATATCATCAACACATTTCTACTTTTTCTATGGTTGGTAGTCACAATTCATAGTCAYATGATGTATAGTTAAAGGGAAAAAAAACAATTAATCTCTTAATTATTTAAATAAAAAATTATATAAAAGAAAARTAATCGAATCTAAAAAATTTGATAAAAGTATTTTTCTTTGTAAACTTTTTTTTAGTACAACATAKGAGGATGAAGATCGAACTCACAACTTCATGGTTGGAGATATATGTCAATTGCCGTTGAACTATGCTTGCTTTGGCGATAAAAGTAATTTTTGCTTGCAACAATTTGGACCAAAGAGACAACAAATATATATGTATAAATTAAAAATAATTTCTCAAAGTTATATTAATTTTAGAAAATTGGGGTTTGAATATCCACCCACACGTCTATATATATATATTTTCTAAAATGGAAAGGTTTACATAAAAGAAAATTTTATTTTATATATAGTTTTTTTTAAATGGACATTAAATATGTCAAGAAATAAAAACAATTATACATTTCGAATTATACATATATAATGAGTATAAAGATTATTAACAAAAACAACCCCTTAAAGTCAAAGTAAATTTAGTTTAGCGGTAATGGACATATATCTCTAATCAAAAGATTATGAGTTTGATCCGAAAAGAATGAAACTCTCCTCAAATTAGTTTGGTTTTAATGAATTTTGAACACTATTTTAAACTTTACTTTTGTATAATAAAACATTAAATGTAAAATTACAAATTGGTATTTTCAAAAGAAAATTACAAATTTGATTCGAGTTTAATTTTAATTTGGTCTTATACGAGGGTTAAATTTCACAAATAGTCGTTAAGAAAATGTTTCGCTAACTGAAACTCATATTGGCAATCATATTTTGTTCACTCGATAATTCACTAAACTTATTCTATTTTTAAAAAGTCGTAAATCAATTAACATAACTAAAAACCATCAATTCATTACAATATAAATAAAAAAAATGTCACGCATTTAATATGATAACAAGAACTCTTTACAATTATAGACAATTCTTTTTTAGTTTATCAATATGTCAGAGTGATTATTTGAATCTCCAATCATTTTTTTTTTTGCAAAGGTAAATAATATTAAACAAAAAAAACGGAAGATCTCATAGTCCGAGATCAAGGCACAACAGGCAAACATATGATTAGAACTCAAACAGCAGCTTCCAGGCCAAGTAGTGCAACGATAATAGACCTCAACTTTCAAGGCCCGTAGAAGGACAAACGGCGACCGCCCCACCTCACCCACGTGAACTCTATCATGACGCTCCCTCCAGATAAAAGAAACAGTAGAAGTCCATGCCAAGTGTCATGGTCATGCTCGTCCAATGCATGTCGCCCATGCCTGCACACCTATGATAGCCTCTTCCCTCCTACTTGTATGCCATGTATTTAGACGGGGGTTCATGTAAGTAGACGTGTTGGTTCACGGTAAAGCTGCTAAGATCACTATAGTGGATTCTGAAGCCACACAAAATTTCATGACTGAAACGAGGCTCGCCGTCTGAWTATACAAAGGGATAAAGATCCAGGGAAGATGAAAGCAGTTAACTCCGTGGCTCTCCCCATCGTAGGGATAGCAAAAAGGGTCCAACTGAAGATCGGGACATGGAGCGGCAAAGTGGACTTTGTAATTATTAGAATGGATGACTTCGACGTCGTGCTCGAAATGAAATTTCTTCTAGAGTACAAAGTCATCCCCATGCCCCTGGCGAAGTGTCTAGTTGTTACTGGATCTGATCCTACAGTTGTTCGGACGAGTATAAAACAACCAAGTGGGGTTAAGATGATATAAGCTCTGTAGCTGAAAAGAGGCCTTGCTCATGACGAACCAACATTTATGGCCATCCGAGTGGTCGAAGAAGAGAGCAGTAAAGAAGTAATTCCCA